ATTTTATGGACATTGGGGTGTTTCCCAGTTATCCCTCTTAGGAAGAGAGCTACTGTGAACACTCATCTGGGTGAAAGCACTTGTCTCCCTTGGGTGTATACCTCGGAGTGAACTTCCCGGGCCACAGAGAATGTGCAGTTTTGGCAGTTTCTGCCAAACCATTTCCCAATCATTGCTCCCACCAGGAGTTTGTTCACTTTTTGATGGGCAAAAAGGGTTCAGTCTCATCAAAAGCAAAGTCTCAAAGACTTAGTAGCAGGAGAGTTAGAAAAAAAACAATTGAAAGAAGAAAACCTTTCCCTAGGCCAGGCGCAGTAGCTCATGCCTATAGTCCCAGCACTCTGGGAGGCCAAGGCAGGAGGATCTCGAGGTCATGAGATCGAGACCATCCTGGCCAACATGGTGAAACCCTGTCTCTACTAAATATACAAAAATTAGCTGGCCGTTATGGCATGCATCTGTAGTCCCAGCTACTTGGGAGGCTGAGCCAGGAGAATTGCTTGAACCCGGGAGGTGGAGGTTGCAGTGAGCCGAGATTGCACCACTGCACTGCAGCCTGGTGAGAGAGTGAGACTCTGTCTCAAAAAACAAACAAACAACAACAACAAAAAAGCTAACCCCAAGAAAGGAACTGGCCCAGGTTGAACAAGCTCTGGTAGGCCCTGGGACCTTGCTGGGGTAACCGTTTCCCACCCTTGCTGCCCAGGAGGAGGGGTGGTGGCTCTGGCAGGAAAGCTCAGTCCCTCGAGGCTTCCCACTTCGTGCACATGGACAGGCCAGGCTTTCCTGGGGTCACCCTCCAGCCCAGTTCTCAGCCACATTGAGCATCACTGGTAGGACGTGCCTACTGGCTGCAGTAAGTCCCCTGAACTTTTCTCTGGGCCAAAATTCCATATGTTCTCTCTTTCCAATAATTTTGCTAATTATTGATCAAAAAGTAAATAGTAAGGTTATGTTAGGAAATGTGCTGCTTTGTGACCAGCAACCCTCCCCAGCCCTCAGGGGCCCCACTGCCCTCGATGTGCCTGTCCTCTGAGATAGCACTGCCCCAGCCCTCCCCACTTAAACCAAGCACCCCACTTCTAAGAGCCCAGAAAGAAGGCTTCCCAAAACACCTCCCCTCCCCACCCCAGCTGTTCTAGAAATACAGGAGATGGAGGTTAACGGAAGACCACTGTCCTTCCTGACAGCTTTTCTCAGCAACCAGGGCAGAGTCATTTTCTACACTTGATATTCTCACAGCTCCCTCTCCAAATGGCGGATGCCCCACCAGCAGCAGTGTGGGCTGTCAAGAGGTGTGAAAATCTTCCTACCCTTAGCAGGCTAGAGCCTCTGGGGCAGGCCTGTGGCTGCAAGCCTGGCCATCCCCCGCCCGGCCTCCCTCACTCTGTCTGCCGGCTTCCTGCTGGGCTTTCTCTGAGGGCCTGTGCTGGGTCCTCTCTGTCTCTGGCACAGATTGCTTGGCATTGCTGCTGGGAGTCTCACATGCACCAGGATGGACAGTGGAACCTTAGTCCTGAACTTTCTCTCGTAACTCAAAGGGACAGGTATATTTTGTTGTAGTACAAAATCGACTGCCATCCCCTGGGAAGCTTGTGTGCGTTGTGTGTACTTAGGAGCTCACCTGCTCACTCACCCTCTGCACAAAGGAGCATTTCTGTCTGCCCAGGTAGAGACCGCTGGCTCCAACAGGCCACACCCACCAGTGGTGGAGCACGTTAAGCCAGGGAGAAAGTTCCTATGGGTAGGAAAATTTTCAAATACATCCCTTGACAGCCCACACAGCTGTCAGATCAGCGGGGGTTCTCAGTTTGGAGACAGAGCCACAGAATATTAAAGTCTAAAGATGCCAAAGGCTCATGTGCTTCTCTTCCTTCTCTCTCTTTGTCTCAAAGACAGAGAGAAGGAAGGGAAGACAATGAGACTGTTTTGGAAAGGGTGTACTCTCCTCCTCTTACCCTCCTGGGGCCTCTCCTCCTGTCTCAGTTGGAGAGGGACAGGGACAGGTGAAGAGGTCCTGGACACAACTGGAGAGCCTGAGCTGAACCAGGACCAGATGGACCCGCAGCCCTGCATCTTGGTCCCAGTCTCCGTACAGTCACCTGGGGAACTTGTGTAGGTGTGGTGGTTTTCAGATATGACCCCAGATTCTTTTGACACTCCTTTCTTCCAGAGGTGGAGCTAAATTTCCCTCTGCTTAAGTGTGGATGGGATTTAGCGCCTTGCTTCTCATGCGTAAAATAAAGTAGAAGTCAATGGTCGCGGTGGCTACTGCCTATAATCCCAGCACTTTGGGAGGCTGAGGCGGGCGGATCACGAGGTCAAGAGATCGAGACCATCCTGACCAACATGGTGAAACCCTGTCTCTACAAAAATTAGCTGCGTATGGTGGTGCGTGCCTGTAGTCCCAGCTTCTTAGGAGGCTGAGGCAGGAGAGTCACTTGTACGCTGGAGGTGGAGGTTGTAGTGAGCCGAAATTGTGCCATCGCACTCCAGCCTGGCAACAGAACAAGACTCTGTCTCAAAAAAAATAAAATAAAAAATAAGCCAGGTGTGGTGGCTCACACCTGTAATCCCAGCACTTTGGGAGGCCAAGGTGGGTGGGTCATGAGGTCAAGAGATCGAGACCATCCTGGCCAGCATGGTGAAACCCAGTCTCTACTAAAAAATACAAAAATTAGCTAGGCATGGTGGCACATGCCTATAGTCCCAGCTACTCAGGAGGCTGAGGCAGGAGAATTGCTTGAACCCAGGAGGCGGAGGTCACAGTGAGCAGAGATGGAGACACTTCACTGCAGCCTGGCGCCTGGCGACAAAGCAAGCAAGACTTTGTCTCAAATAAATAGATAGATAGATAGATAGATAGATAAAATAACACAGAGGTAATGTGTGTGAGGTCATCAACAGTCTTGCAGTTTCCTGCGTGTTCTCTCTCTCCCTCCCGCCGTCTCTCTCTCATCATTGGCTCTGGGAGAAGCCAGCTTCTATGTCATGTGTACACTCAGGCAGCTCATTGGAGGCCTCCTGACAGTAGCCATGTGAGTGACATCTCAGAGCCAGACCCTCCAGCCCTAGTCCAGCCTTCAGATCCCTGCAGGCCTGGCTGACATTTTAACCACAGCTTCATGTGGGATTTTGAGACAGAACCACCCAGCTAAGCTGCTTCCAGATTGCTGAGTAAGAAAAATAAATAGTTATTATTTTAAATGGCTCGGTTTTGGAATAATTTGTTACACAGCAACAGATAACTAAACAGGAAGTTACTAGCACTACTCACCAAATGTGTTCTAGTTCTAGCTTGCAGAAGCATGGTAGGATGACCTATGTCGCTGCTTGGAAGTTATGTATATCCACACAACTTTGAAACTGAGCAAGACCAGACTGTGTTACCTCCATGAAGGCACTTCAAGAGCCAATGTGCCATCATGATCTCTTTCTCTGCCGCTACCAAACAAATTGCCAGTGTTGTAAATAATGAGACCGTGCTCTGTCGGCTTGGGGCCAGGGGTTGGGGTGATGTGGACCAGAGCTGTTCTCTGACCCACTGTGGATTCGTAACAGCAGAAGAAACAAGCCGTGTGGTCTTTAAGCTCCCACATTTTGGGTGTTTGTTATTGTGGCACAACCTGAACTATACTGACTAACACAGGTGAGGATACACAGGGATCCCCTATCCCTCCACCCCCAGCTCTTCATGCTCTTTGGGCCCAAGAAAGCCAGCATCTCCATCAAGGTCAGCAGGATCACACCCTTGATGTGGGCTCCCTGTCCCCTACCCAGGGAACGGCATTCCACCATGTCCACACCTGGATAAAAAGCGCGGAGTGGAGCCTGGTTCAGGAGTGGGCTGGGGGCTTGGTTTGGTCATTACCGCCCCTCTGATTAGAACCCAGTGGATGGGAAAGGATTGCACGGCAGTAAGAGGAGTTTAAGGTGTTAAGTAACGGCCCGTGTGATCCAGTTCTGAAAGCCACAAAGTCAACAGTGATTGATCCTTTGCTTTCTTTTCCAGAACCAGAGAGAATTTGGGGAAATTACTGTCTGGCCACCCAGAAAACAAAGACCAGTGAAGATTTGTTTTATTTTCTCCTCTTCCCAGATCAGTCCACAGTTCTCCAGGGACCCACTGTGGTTTTGTGCTTCCTCTGTGCCTGTTCTGCCCCTCTCCATGCACCCCCACCTCCCCAGCCCCTCCCAGTCTCCTCAACAGTCCTCTCCAGCCCTGCAGCCCCCTCTCCATCCCACAGCCCTCAGGCTCCAGCCTCCTCGTTAGGAAGTGTTAGAAAGTTGCTGGAGTGAGAAATGAGCCTGTGAAAGCTCGTTGTCCTAATTAAACTTCCACAAGGAGAGTGACAAGAGGCGACGGGGAGGAAATACTGCCACCACCAAGGTCTCAGCCTGGGCCCAGGTCGAGGAGGGCCTTTGTCCTGCAGAACAAAAGCCACTGTTTGCACGTGTTAAACCTCATCAAACTTCAACAGACCCAGGTGCAAAAACCCGCATCCCAAATGCCATCCGTGCTTATGCCACCTTCCCGAGCACTGACCGTCCCGGCCGTCACCCCTAATCAGGGCCATGCCCCACATCAAAGCTGCACTCCCTCCACAGACAGCTTCTGCTCCAAGATGCATTGTTCTTCTGACTTCCTACACTCAGCCCTTGTCTGACGAATTAGGGCACAGAGCCCCCCATGGCACAGCTGGGCCCTGCTGGCACTGTTAATGAGGTAGGCAGGGCGCGTTGGTCCGAGCCGGCGACTGACATAATCGCATAAAGCTGTCGCTTTGGAATAGACGGGGCTGCCCAGAGTCAATTTTCTTGGAAGCAACGCAAAGCAGAGCTTCCTGGGAGAAGACACAATGCCTCCTATTGTCTCTGCCACTTCCGCTCAGCCTCCCAGCGTGTCTGCGTCTACTCGGGAGCCACTGCCCTGTGCAAAAGCTGTTTGCTGATGCCCAGCCACGGTTTCCACAATCCCCCATGAGAAGTCATTTCTGTCCACAGTCATTGTTTCCAGACCCGCCGAGCTGGCTGGGGAGGCGAGGCCAGGCCCAGGGAGACCAGGAAGAGGCCCAGCTTGCAACACAGGCCCCCAGTGGCTGGGGTCGGCGCACGGGTTGCTGGGGGCAGCGGCTGCCAGCCCTGCTAGACATGCCCAGGGTCAGGGCAGAGGCCGGGGTGGCTCACGTCCACAGCGAGGCCCCCAGGAAGAGGCTCTGAGGGCCCAGGTCCCTGGAAGACAGAGTCCTCCGAGTGCTTCTGGGAGACTCTACCCCTAGGCCCTCACCCTCCCTAGGACTCAGGAAGCTCTCTGGGTCTCTGCCTCCCTAACCACGTCCTCCACCTGACCATCACCTAGCCCCAAGGGCTTGGGCAACTTCTGGAAGTGGCTGAGACTGGAAGGATATTGTCACACCTACCAGATACCCCACGTTTATCTCTACCACTCCCACTACAAATTCTGAAGAACCAGGGTGGGTCAGGAGAGTCCCCAGGCCAGCAGGGCAAGGCCTGGGCGGGAGTGGAGTCAGGAAGTGAGAAGTGGGGACCCTGGGGGGTGGGTCGTGGGGCTGGGCTGAGCTGGACATTGGGCAGGCTCTGCTGCATTGACTGAGTCACCAAAGGACACTGGATGGCCATCAAAATTTTTGAGTGACCAAGACATGGGTTCCTTCTTATTATCTGTGGGGAGACTGACATGAGCAACCAAGTCTAACCCAAGCAGAGTTGACTGAGGGCTATTTAAAGGTTCCACAGAGCCTGGGCGCCATGGTTCACACCTGTAAATCACAGTACTTTAAGAGGCCAAGGCAGGTGGATCACTTGACATCAGAGGTTCAAGACCAGCCTGGCCAACATCATAAAACCCCATCCACTAAAAATACAAACATTTGCAGTGGGTGTGGCAGTGGGTGCCTGTAGTCCCAGCTACTCAGGAGGCTGAGGCAGAAGAATCGCTGGAACCCGGGAGACAGATTGCAGTGAGCCGAGATCAAGCCACTACATTCCAACCTGGGCAACAGAGGGATACTCCGTCTCTAAATAAATAAATAAATAAATAAATAAATAAATAAATAAAGGTTCCAAGGACGGCCTGAAGGACAAACAAAGGAGATTTGGTGCAGGAGGAGGACAAAGATTTGGGGGAGAGCAGCCCCACCCGAGGCCACGGTCAATGAGTGGGGGTCTTTTGCAGAGAGGAAATGGAGGATGTGTGTGGTGAAGGTGTAGCTGAAGCATCTTATAACAAGGGCAAAAGCACTTGCCTCCTCCCAGCTCTGGCTTAGCCTCTCTCTCTCCAAGTCTCTGGCATCCCTGGAAAACCACGATTTTTCCAATCTGCGTCTCCTTCCAGCCCCTCACGCTGCAGTCCGGTTGTGTGATGAGCATTCAGAGAATACTTGTTGGTCTTGAAAACAAAGCCCTCCTTCGGGGCCCCTAGAAACCAAAGAGACCCACTTAGCCAAGAGATCACTCTTGGACACCAACAAGAGTGATGTCACTTGGTAGGCATTTTGTTGTGTGTTTCTTTTTAACTATATAAGAAACAAAAGGGTGGATGTGCAAACCCAACCCAAGAATACCTTGGCTCAGGCTCAACTAGATGAAACTTTAAAAAATGATTTAATGTTATGTTAGACTGTTGCATATTAAAGCGATGTGATGCCTTCTAAGAACCAGAGGCAGCGCCTGAAAGCGATGACTTGGGCAAATTTAAGGAGTTATAACCCACTTTTCGAGGGAACAGCTATGAACATTTTGCAGTCTATACAGCAGCCCAGACCTCTAATGACAGTGTCCAAAGACTCTTTCATCCCGATTCTGAGGCTACCACTGTCTCCTCCCCTTCCCGAGCCACACTCTTCTAAACAGCAACTGCGGGGGGATGGGAAGCTCCTGAGAAGGGGAAATATTTGGGGCCCTGTCAGCTGGCAGAGTGGGGTTTGTGGTCACCGTGTTACAAAGTTAAATCACTTCCCAGTAAACACAAGTTTCCGATGGCTCTCTGGCCAGGGCTGGCCGGGGACAGGAGGGAGTATGTGTGTCGGGTACGTTGCGTCACAAGCTGTGCAGCTGTGTAGGCCTCTCTGTCCAGAGGCATTCATGGAAAATGATTGGGCACCCAGCCCGCAGCAGATGCACTGGGTAATCCAGCCAGGAGGAGCTGGGACGCAGCGGAGGAGGAGACACGCAGGGCCTGCAAAGCCTGGCGAGGGAACCACAGGCAGAAACCTGAACAATGAAGACGTTCCCACCAGTTCCAGAAAACAAGGCTAACTTAAAATGCAACCTCTTTCCTTGAAGTGGGCTTGGCAGGCCCCAAGTGTTGAAAGACAAAAGAAAAAAAACAGAGAGAAAGAAAACAACATGTTTTCCATTTATCTAGCCTGCATTTCTAGCTGAGTTTCCTTCGGACCCCCTCACATGTTGAACTGATGTGTGAGATCAGAACAAAAGGAATTTCGGGCAGTCATTGCTGTAGGGCCCAGAGCTCAGGAGACTCTTAATTTTAAAATACTGGTTCATGCTTGCACTTATTAGACTAAATCGACAAACAGGAGTCCGAGTGAGCAGCGCAGGTGAGGGCAGCTCTCCCTGGAACCTTCGTCCTCCTCCTGCACCAAACCTTCACCTTTGCTCGTCCTCCAGCCCATCCTTGGAATCTTTATTTATGTTTTTGAGACAGAGTCTCATTCTGTTGCCAGGCTGGAGTACAGTGAGTCTGAGAGGGGAAGCTGGCACAATCTCAGCTCACTGCAACCTCTGCCTCCCAGGTTCCAGCGATTCTTCTGCTCAGCCTCCTGAGTAGATGGAACTACAGGTGCACGCCACCGTGCCAGCTAATTTTTGTATTTTTGGTAGAGATGGGCTTTTCACCGTGCTGGCCAGGATGGTCTCAAATTCCTCACCTCAAGTGACCCACCTGCCTTGGCCTCCCAAAGTGCTAGGATTACAGGCGTGAGCCACTGCACCTGGGTCCTCCTGGAAGTTGCCAGAAGTCTCATGACTGTAGCCTCCCTGGCTGCTGCTTCAGGGGGTCCCGGACCCCTCAGCCCAGGACAGGAAGGCAAGGATGCACCTTGCTTTGTTTTAAGAGTTCCTGTCCCCTCCCCTCCCCACGCCCGCCCCTTCCTGTCTCAGAGCCCCAGCTCCTCTATGTCCTTAATCTGTCACGTCTGCTCTCAGGGAAAAGTGGAAGCTCACTCAGACCCAAAGGTGATTGGTGACCCCGGCTTCTTTTCCGGGTGGGAGGGGAGGCTCGTGTTTTCCCAGATCCTAAGCTAGAGTAAGCTCCTGCTAAACAGATGAGGGAATTATATTGAGGGGAAGAGGTCCACACTGGACTCCTGTGAATTCCTTGAGGGATTCATGAGATTTCTCACCTCTGGGCTTTCTGTGGGGGTTGAGTCTCTCCGTCTGTAATGCTCTTTGTCTAATTGGCTCATGCTTTCTTTCTGCTGAAAAATAACGCTTCTGTGCTTGGGAGTGGTCCCTGGGGTCGAAGATGCCAGTTGCCAAGCAGTAATACCTAGTACGCTTTCTTCTTGACTGAGAGACCCTTACGGTATTGGGGCAGCAATAGGTCCAGCTAAAACACTACCTTTCCCACGTTTACAGACATCTGTGGCCAAGTGGGTATAAGCAGAAGACTTTGTGGGTAGAGGATACCTCAGAGAAAGTTATTTGAAAGGGGGATAATTAAACTAGGAGGTGAACTTTCTTTTTTGCCCTTCCCCATGGAATGCGATCATGGTGGTTGGAACTCCAGCTGCCATCTTGTGACCAATGTGAGGATGCACATTATAAGCTAAGAGGGCTGAGCAGAAAGAAAGTAGACATTAGATTCTCTGATGAGTGACTATGGAGCTGCCTTGCCAACCCTAGACTTCCCATGGCTGTATTTCTCTTACGTGAAAGTAAACCCGTGTCCCCTTTAAGTGATGTTGCTTCTAGTCTTCGTCACTTGCAGCTGAACTAAACCAAAGTAAGCCCTCCCCTTTCTGCACGTCTCCATACCACTACTCAGACCTGCAGCTTCTCATTCCATGTCTGTCTTCTCCCCACCATGTACCAGCTGTGAGATCAATGGTGGGTCTGTGGTGCCGTCTGCAGGAGCCTCACTGCCTGGCGTGGCATCTGGCACATAAGAGCAGGCCTGTAAATGTTTTCTGAATGAGATGCCCCTGCAACATGGCTCTGCCAGTGGGTTGGTACACCTGAAGCCTTCCATGGAGTTAAGCAAGATTTAAGGATATCAGGGGCTGGTATGGTGGCTTATGCCTATAATCCCAGTGCTTTGGGAGGCCAAGGCAGGCGGATCACTTGAGGTCAAGAATTTCAGACCAGCCTGGAAGATAGGGTGAAACTCTTGTCTCTACAAAAATACAGAAATTAGCCATAGGTGGTGGTGGGTGCCTGTAATCCCAGCTATTCAGGAGGCTGAGGCAGGAGAATCTCTTGAACCCGGCAGGTGGAGGTTGCAGTGAGCCAAGATCGGGCCGCTGCACTCCAGGCTGGGCAACAGAGTGAGATTCTGTCTAAAAAAAAGAAAAAAGATTTAAGGATATCAGGAGAGGTCAGTGATTATAATTAGGGCACAGGAGAGGGAAAACCACCTATTTGCATTTATTTATAAGAAAACCAGCTATTTTTGAGCACTCTCCATGTGCCAGGAGCTGTATTGAGACTTAGCAGAAAATCTTTCCGATCCTCACTGTGGAAGTGGTGCAGGGAGCTGGCATTCCTCACTTTAGGGTATACCCATGTCTTGTGATTGATCTCTGCATAGCAAAGTGCCTCCGAGCTCAGGGCTTAAAGCAACAGGCATTTTTTGAATTTCTCATGATTCTGAGGGTTCACTGACGCTCAGCTGGGGTCCCTCTGCTGGTCTTGTTTGGGGTCTCCAGCTGCAGTCAGGTGGCAGCAGTGGCTGGACATCCAAGGTGACTGCATTCACCTCTCTGGAGCTTTGGCAGGAGTGCCTGGGAGGCTGGGCTCAGCCACAGCATTGGGACACCCGGGCCTGATTCTCCTTGGGGTGCTAGGGCCTCTCCCTCGGCACATGGATTTTCCATGTGGTGTCTGCTGAAGGCCACCTGGACTCCTTACATGGATGCTCAGGACCACAATAGTACAGAGGCAGAAGCTGCCCAGCTTCCCAAGGATCAGGTCTGGAGCTGACCTGGCACGACTCAGCACTCTGTCGTTAAGGCAGTGGCAGGGCCAGCCCAGAGTCAGCATGGCCGGGGACTGCACAGAGACATGGACAGCAGGAGGCTCTGTGGAGCCATCGCTGGGGACTAGCTGCTGCCCACATGAGTAGGCGTGATTGAATTTTATAGGTGAGGAGGCTGAGAGGCGAAAGAGCTTGAAGGCCTCATACCACTGAGGGTGGGAATGGAACCCAGAGCAACCCACCTCCCTTGCCGGCCTTCTCTCCTCCTCCATACTCAACCTCTTGAGCAAAGGAATACTCCTGACGGTGCATTTGCAGCCAGAACTCTGCAGGGACTGCAAGGACACACAGTCAAGGACTGCCTGTGTGGGGTTGAGGATGGTCTCTAATCCGGTGTTTCATAAGTCGTTTATAGCAGGAGGGAGCTGTGGGAAAATGTCACCAAGATGAAGGGTGAGTTGACAGAGGGACTGACACACGGAGGGTCAGGGCATCTGCACTCTGTACCCACAACCGTGGGCTTCTCTGTTCACTCCATCTCATTCTTTGAAAGCCTGTGCATTATCTCAGATTAAAACCAACTCCCACCTGCACCTTACCTTCTCCAACCAGAGTTTTCTCACTTGAATCTCTGCAGGTGCAACAGGGACCCGGGGCCTCAAGAGACGAGGATGGGGGAACATGACTCCAGGGCTTGGAAGGAGCCCCTCAAGTAAGTTCCCCTCAAAGCCTGAGAGTTCCCTTTGTCCACAACTCATCTGTTTTGCCCAAATATGTTTTTGGACACGCAGTTCCCAGAGAAGAGCAGGCCCGGCCCCCTGGCCTCAGAGCTCAGCCTTCAGGGTAGGGCAGCAGAAAGAATGTAATCAGAGTTATGGCTTAATGAAGTGAACCGTAATAACCGTAAACAGACAGTTTGGGATTTGATTTGTTATTTTGTACAAGGCAGTACCTTTCAATAGCAACTGGTGTTAGAGCCAAGCTTAAACATTTTCGTCTCACCAAGAACAAAAAAAAAAAACAACAGTCATGCCATTGTACCCTGTACTTTCCCACCTTAAAGTGGGATTGGTTTTGTGCATTGGGAAAGTTACCAAAAATAACTCTCTTCCATCACAAAGGTTAGCAGAAAGGAAGTTGCTGGATTGTTGCTAGACTGTTAGGAAGTTGCTGGATGAGACGGGTCTGTAGGTAAGTAGTGTCTGTTAACAGACAATGTGTGCCAAGCCACCTACCTCCAAACGTCTTTCCTATTTAATCCAAGAGGGTGCTTTGGCGCAGGCCTGGGGTCATGGGTTTTTGCATGGCAGAAGAAGGCATCCCGGGAGGGGGGTCAGATGTGGCTTGGGCTCCTCCACCCTAGCTAACAGCTAACCCCATGGCCGTGGACACACACTTGTGCTGTGGTGCATTGTTTCTAAAGACATGGGTTTTGGAGAGCTCTCCGGCCTCCACCAGGGGTGCGACACTATGCCAAGCACTGATAGTGTCACTTCATCTATAAATGTCCCAGGCACGGATGGGAAAACAAGCAGAGCTTTTTTTTATGACACCAACCTAAGGTCTCATTTTAATTTGCTCCGGAAAGACTATTAGTCCTGATGCATTCACTGCAGGTAACTAATAAACTATCCAACTCCCGGTTGGTTGGTGAAGGTGCTAATTTTGAGTATTTGGGGGCCCTTTGCAATATTCATTACCAAGCTGTCCTAGGTCAATGACGCCACCTGGTGGCTGGTGTTTGGGGGGGTTCCCTGCGTTTTCACACTTCTGTTCTAGAATAAGGAATCCATCAGCAAACATAGAGGAAATGTATAATCAGGGCCATAAAGATGACAGAACAGGATGCGGGAGGGAAGTGTGAGGTCGTGGGGTTTCAGACAGAGTGGTCGGGGGAGGCCTCTCTGAGGAGGGGGCATTTAAACTGAGACTCTCATGAGAAGAGATCAGTCATGCAAAGATCTGAGAAAGACAGCACTCCAGGCTGTGGTAGCATTGATTACAAAGGCCCTGAGTGGGATTGAGTGATTCTGTTTCAGCAACAGAGGTCACCCTGGCCAGCTGGCCCTGGTGAGCACACGGCACACTGAGGCAGTGTAGAGGCGGATCACTGGAGGCCTTGCCAGGCGGGGACAGCTGATTCAGAGTGGAAGGGGCTTGGGAGTTGGGCGCGAGAGTGGTGTGAAGTGTTTGAGTGGTGTGGCACTGGGCTGTATTCCTTCATTCTCCAAGTCAGTCCTCACGCTTAAGTTGGCTCCACTTCAGAAGGTATTTCTTGACATTTCAACCTTGTTCAGGTATGAAAGAAAAAAATTACCTTCCCTTAGTCTTCCATTCCATTCCACTGGGACCAAACACAACCCTAACCTTGGCCAATAAATGTGTCGTAGCCTTGGAGACCGCCTCCTTGAGCAGCTGAAAGGTGACCACACACCCAGCCAGCCCCAGTCCCAGCCCCAGCCCCAGCACCCTCACCTGGAGAGGTCCATTTCCTTAACAGTCCAGCAGAGTGACACCATGCAGTCCCCATAGCTGTGCATTGCCAAGCGCTTCTCTTTTGCAGAGAAGGAAGCGGAGGGATAGAGACCTCTGCCAGGTACCCCAGGGGTTAGAGATGCAAGTGTCGGAGCCGGGGAGCCTGGAACTAGCTACCAAATCTCTCTGTCTATAAAAGAAGACCGATGTCAAAGAACTACACAAATAAATGCATCCTTATGATTCTGTGTCTACAAAATCATATGTGTATGATAATGTGGCCACCCCACGAGCCGGAATATGTACAATGCCTAAAGTCAATGCTCTCCTGTAAGAGGCTGGGCCACTATCAGGTGGGGCTGAGTGCCTGAGACAGCCCACAGGTCCCCAGCTTGCCCGAAACCTTCACCTGGAACCACTCAGCCTGAGTCAGGGCAGGTGCTTCAAGCCACATGGGCGACCCCACCCTGTCCTTGCCTCGCCTCTCCAACCTGAGGCTTGGGGCCATCTCCCAGATCTGCCTTCCCATTGGCTGCTTCAACTGTTCACTGTCCACACTTGTCCCTTTAATGTCCCCCTTCAGCCTTTTTGGGGAAACACCTTGTCGTGCCCTATTGCCCCTGGGGCCTCACATTCCAAAGTGGGGCTCTTAGCCTGGTAAGATTCATTGCAGCCTCTCCAGTGGGCACAGGACCTAACATCCACTGTGCACAGAGGGTCCCTCCTTCCTCCCCAGAGTATGCATCCCATCCCAACAAGCCTGCCTTCCTCAAGCCCCAGAATTCAAGATCTGTATAAAGAGCAATTTACATGCAGTGTAATGAAAGTAGAACCTCTTCTTAATAGTGTTTTCTCGTACTTCTAGACTCTGATCTTGTAAAACTATGTTGATCAAAATCCTTCAAAACCATTCCCTTGGGAATAGCTGGAAGGACCCTCTAAAGAGCAGGGGCAGTTGGGATCTTGGCTGGGACCAGTATTGGGCTATCCTTGGGCTCACAGTAGAATGTGATGTCATCTCCCCCCTGAAAATAAACAGAAAACAAGAAAAAGGGGAGCTCATTTCGGCCATTCTGACAAGGTGGGCTTTGAGAGGGACAGGGAGTGCTTTTCCTAAGAGGCCAGGTATTAGCCAAACCAGATCCTGGCAGCCCTTCTCATACTGTGATGTGCATTTGCAGCTTGTGGGTAAGGCTTTTGTCAACCTACAGATTCCAGCTCAGTAAGTCTAGGACAGGGCCTGGGAGCTTGCATTTCTAACAAGCTCCCAGCAAATGCTGATGCTGCCAATCTGGAGAAGATACTTGTTAGTAGCTTATTAGAAGGGCAGACTCCTGAGCCCCACATCAGACCTATGAATGCAACCTGCCTGTCAACAAGATCCCCAGTGACTCCTGCTCATGTCACCGTGTGAGAAGGCCAGTTTCTAGGGCTTGCCTGCATCCTGTGCCCACGGCAGACATCACTAATCAATCAGGACATTCTGATGATGAGTCAAGATCCTTGTCTACACAGTGCTGCCAGTGCCCCACCAATGCCTGAGAGGCAGTATGGGGAAGAAACTAAAAATGCTGAGAAGAATCAGCGAGAGAAGCAAGTTGGGGCAGAGATGGGTTTTCAGAAACCCAAAGCCAGATCGATAACTAGAAGATGCCTAAAAAGTGTCTGTAAGGTCTTGATGAAGCATAAATACAAGTGAGGGGATAGTTGTTGGAGGAATGGAGCCTGGCATCAGCCAGAGAAGAGTCTGGAGCTGCTGAAAGCTTCTCGTAGCACAGATCAGAGACAAGACCAGGAAGAAGGTCCTAGAAGGGTTGAGAAGCTGCCTAAACAGCTGGAGGTTTCTTGGCCAGGGCTGAAGGAAGAGACTGAAGTCCATCCCCCTAGCAAGAGCGTCTCCCAAGTGACATAAACAGAGCATCCTCTGTACCCCAGGCAGGGGCCAGACCTGTCATATCAGTGATCGCTGTTGTGTTTCTCATCCCATGAAGGAGGTACCATCATCTTCTACAGTCATGGAATCGGAGACCAAGGGAGATTAAACAATGACGCTGGTAAATGCCCCGTAGGAATCCTTCCCAGTTTACTTGCCTGCAAGACTGACCTAGGCTCATACACACTTACCTCTGCCGTTGTTTATCCTGTTGGAAATCCTTGACAAATTTCTAGTGGAGGGTCCTGGGTGGTCTTGTCTGTCAGAGGGACAGAAGAGATGGGGATGAGGTGGGCACCCAGGGCCCAACAGAGCAGCCAGGTCAGTCGTGATGCCTCACAGCCAGGAACAGGCAGGACGGGGTTCTGGGTGGTGCTTTCTGTGGGATCCATCAAGAGTCAGACAGTGGTGAGGTCTTGTCTGTCTTCTTGTAAATGTACTTGTTACACCTCCACTCCCTGTGACTTCCTTGCTGAGCAGGAATTATTACTCCCATCCTCAGAAAATGAAGCAGTGGTTCAAAAAGATGAGGTGCCAGGCTCAAGATCTCCGTGAGCTGAGAACAGCACCCACATTTGTCTGATCTCGAAGCTAGGAACCCATTTTAGGCAGATGAAGAAGCAAGTAGGCTTTTGTGGGCTAGCCTGGGCACTAATCACAAGTTCTAGCATCACGTCTGTGGTGAAATGGACGTTTTGGGCACTCCACTATCAACAAACTTTTGCACTGCCATTTACTGCTAAGTTGGGAAGAAATTCCTGCTTCTTGCGTAGAACAAACTTCAGCGGCAACTTCCTACTCAACTTGGTCCTGTGACATCTAGTGGCCAACAGGAGAAGTGCAGTGAAATCGCTGGATATTGTAAGCAGGTGCAAACGCTTAGTACTTCCTGGGATTTAAAAAAATGCGCTGAAATTCACAATAGCGGAAGTATCCATGGAATTCAGAAGATGCACATTTACATGCATCTTATAAAGTCTATAATCCTTTATTTTCTAACAGCCCCTTCATCCCCCACCCTGTTTCTCCACCCCAGGACTCACAGAATGGCAAAAATACAAGGAAAGATTCTTGGGTAACTAATGCTCCTTTACAGGGGGTCCCCAGTTGAAGGGCAGGGGGAAAGTCTTCTTACTGTGGGGCTAGCATAAATGAACCGAAGAGTGATTTGCCAAACGGTAACACACTCGAATTGTTTTTCAAACATTTTGGGTTTGGCAAAATGCATGTTGCTAAGCCCCCTTTCCCGACATTGTTATACCCATGTGAATTTCAAGGGAAATTCAATATGTATGTTTTTGATTCACTTAGGCTTAACTCAGCACAACTATTTAGCAAGAACCACTTTGTATCCAAGAATCTTCCTGAACCCTTTCTTTTGTAAGCCCCCTTAAACGGTTTTCCTTTTAACCAGGAAGTATGTTTTGTCTGGGGTAAATTGAACTCAAATCCCAAACAGTGTGGTTCAAAATTCAAAATTCTTGAATTTTGAAGATGATTGGAAAGTCTGCAAGCAGAGCCTCAGGTCATTGAGAATGGCCAGTGGTGGTATTGAGAAGTGTGAAGTATTATGAGCAAAATTCGGTGATCATATGGAGTGACATTTTGTTTACTTTAAAACAAAGTCTGACCTCTTGATGCCTGGTTTGGGTGCTGTTCTGGCCAAGTATCTTTCAGGTCTGGGTGGCCCAGGGACTTTTACTGTCACACAGTCTCTCTGAGTGTTGGATGCCTTCCTTGGTAGATGTGAGGACACAATGAACACCTATGGGCACCAGAGGATGGCAGCTCCATGGGGCTTTTGAACGAAACAGATTCTCTTGCCTAGTAGGACCTTACCATTCAATTTAGACAATTGAAGCTGTGAATGAATCAATGAGCTAGCTCCATTTATTCCATCCCAGGCGTAGTTTTTGCGTTTGTTGAATATACTATAAATCTGAGCACAGCACATCAAGGGTATTTGATTAGAGATGGTGATAAGATTTTTATATCTGTGCTGCTCTGTTTACACAAAATAAGATAATTATTCCACTTGAATTTAAAAGTTTGCTTTTCTTGTCATAGCGATGGCCAACCGCCAGCTATGCTGCCTAGGTCGGCCACATATAACAGAAAACCCGAATGGCGGGCTTTAATAATACAGGAATTTTCTTTTTGCTCACATGTAAAAAAAAATCCAAGAAAAAATATCTAGGGATGAAAGGCTGGTTCCAGGGCCATCAGGGACCTAGGTTCTTCTTAAGTGACTCTTCCAACTTCCTTACCATGTAACTTCCCTTTCAGAATTGCATTATGGTTACATGATGGCTGCTGGAGACCCAGCTCTCATGTCTATGTTCCAGGCAGCAGAAAGGAAAAAGAGGCTTTCAGCTGACTCAGTCCCATGTAAAGAGCTTCTTTGGTCTCGAACTCCTGGCCTCAAGTGATCCTTCCACTTCAGCCTCCCAAAGTCCTGGGATCACAGCCCTGAGCCACCATGCCTAATACTTTCTTTGCAAGCCCAAACTGAAAATCTTCAGCTTATACCTCTTTAACCACCCATCTGCAAGAGAGGCTGGGGAATACGTTTTATCAAATTCCATTGCCACGCTCAATAATATGGGATTCCACTGGCAAGAAAGGAGAGAACAATCAGGTAGCCAACCACCTCTTCCCACCTTACCCTCCATGCTGTCTCCCGGCTGTGCCACAGCTCTCATCAGAGGCAGAGGACAGACCAAGGGGAAAGAACTTGCAAGGGAAAAAAGGCTGTATGTGTTCATATGTGTGTGTGTGCGTGCGTGCGCGTGTGTGTCGGGGCGGCTCACTGAGGCCTGACCCACAAATACCGTGATATGTCCTCTTTGCTTTTATGTAATTAGTTCTCCATTTACTTCTGCCTGGTCTAAGACTGATTTGCCTCAGCCTAATATTGTGTGGGGAAGGCCTTCCTCAGGGCCAGAAAGGACCAACAGGGCTGGAGAGAAAGTAGCTGGCAGAGCTGTCTGGCAGGCCGCAGCTCCTTTCTCTTCACCTTGCTTGGGTGTTATCAGCTCATCTTTCTCCAACCTGGGGTGTTCCTGCCTCAGTATAACTACTGTTGGAAACTTGCAGGGAAAAAGACTTGCTGTCCAGGCACGGTGACTCACGCCTCTCATCCCAGCACTTTGGGAGGTCGAGGCAGGTGGATTACCTGAGATCAGGAGTTCGAGACCAGCCTGGCCAACATGGCGAAATCCCATCTCTACTAAAAATACAAAAAAAAATTAGCTGGGTGTGGTGGCCTGTAATCCCAGCTATTTAGGAGGCTGAGGCAAGAGAAGAGCTTGAACCCAGAAGTCAGAGGTTGCAGTGAGCTGAGATCGCACCATTGCACTCCAGCCTGGGCAACAGAGCAGGACTCTGTCCCCCACACAAGAAAAAGGAAAAAAGAAAGATATGTTTGTGTGTTCCTTGAAGATAGAACAATGTTGTAGTATGGAGAAGGCTTGATAGGTCTTAATTTATAGTGAGCTTGAAAGGTAAGTAGCTGCCTGTTCAAGTCAGGTTTAGACAACACAGAACGACTGACATGAAATATGGAATTGACTTCACTGATACCAGGAGGGAGGGGTTCACAGTGAAGTCAACCTTCCTTCATCACAGGGGCACATGCCACCCCCATTTTATATCCAAAAAACCTGAGGTTAAGTCACCTCCCCTGCATCACCCAAGAGCTGCACCCATGAGCTGGCCTCAGAGCTGCATGGTGGTACGACTGGGCTTCCCTACATGGAAGAACTACCCTCAGCCCAGGGGCCCAGCTCTCTAGGGAGGGGTTCAGAACCCGCCCAAGCCCCAGCGCCCTGCCTTAAGTCCACGACACTGAAGGAGGTGAGCAGACTGGGTAGGAGAGGCACCCTGCAGCTGGACAGAGGCTGTGGGAGCACAAGGGGCACTCAGCAGGCCTGGTACCCACAGGGCTCAGGTACCAGACCTGAAATAATGTGAAACACAGTAGGGGCTCCCTCAATATCATCATCATTATTCATTACATTTGCTTCAGACCTCAATATCACCCACAAATGATTATGGGCTTAAAAATGGAATTAGGGGCTGGGCGAGGTGGCTCACGCCTGTATCCAGCACTTTGGAAGGCCAAGATGGGAAGATCATGAATGAGGTCAGGAGTTTGAGACCAGCCTGATCAATATGGAGAAACCCCATCTCTACTAAAAACACAAAAATTAGCCGGGCATGGTGGCACATGCCTGTAATCCCAGCTACTCAAGAGGCTGAGGCAGGAGAATCTCTTGAACCCAGGAGGCGGAGTTTGCAGTAAGCCGAGATCACACCATTGCACTCCAGGGCAACAGAGTGACACTCTGTCTCCAGAAAAATAAAAAAAAAAGCATCATATGTTGGTAATCAATTCAGATCATACTTAAAAAGTAAAAAGAAATATGAAAGCCAGACATGGTGGTGTGTGCCTGTAGTCTCAGCTACTCGAGAGGCTGAGGCAGGAGAATTGCTTGAACCTGGGAGGTGGAGGTTGTGCGATCTGAGATGGTGCTGCTGCACTTCGGCCTGGGCAACAGAGCAAGACTGTCCCCCCAAAAAAAAAAAAAAAAAAAAAAAAGAAAGAAATTAGGTTGAACTTAGGGGGTGATCACTTGACTTTTGTTTTATCTTAGTCTTTTACTCATGCTTCTTTTTACTGAGTGTTCATCTGCAAACAAACCTGCAACATGACACGTCTTGGACTCAGCTCATTTGATGGACCAAGAAAACAATCAGCAGACAATGGCAGCACCACAGAGCTAAAAACAAAATGAATGAAGACTTTCTCACAATGAAATGAGTGAACGGACTGCTGATTCGGGGAGCTCCTGCAAGCCAGAAAGAAGTGTGGAGAACTTGCTGTCTTCCAAGAAGAAAAGCCAGCAAAGAGGAGCCAGTCTTCAGGAAGTATTGGAAAATGAAGAGCTGGCACATAGACAGCACTTTCCAGCTTATGAAGCACTTCTTGAGAACCTTATCTTGCTTGAGCCTCCCCAAACGCCGTAAAGTGGGAAGGAAATTATGGAAAAGGAAGTTCAGAGAGATCAATATCCAACCTAAGGGTGCACAGCTGGAACTCAGGTCAGGGATGTGGTCAGAAGGGGCTGGGGGTCTGCCACCTCCAATGCTCAGGCAACTCAACCTCCAACCAGACATGCAGCAACCCACTGTGAGTAAAAGTAAATCTTCCTCCTTCCCAGCCCCTGTAGTCCCTGCCTCTGAAGCCACAGCTAGGAGATAGGATTCCCAGGAAAGGCACAATGAAATGGGTTACTCCCACCATTTTTGACCTTCAAAGCATTTGGTGTCTTCACTATGTCCTATGCAGCCCCAGTGACATGGGACCCCGCTGGATCACACGTGCCCACCTGCGTGAAAGAATAGGTCAGAGGAATGTCAGAGAAGCCCCTCCTCCCTGCCCTGCACCACCCACTCTCACACAGTCTGGCCTTAGTTTCTCCACCGATGGTGATGTCTGGGACAAGTATCTGCACGCCTCTGTTTACTCACCTGTAAAATGGGGAGAAGAGTGTTTGCCTCCACCCTCCCTCGGATGGGAGCAGAGGTAGCGCCTGCTTGTCTGGACAAGCCCAGAGCGAGGCCCTTCTCCTGATCTGCCCTCTGAGAGCCAGCTGCTGTGACAAGGTCTGTGGCTGAGTGCTCCACTCTGGTTTCAGGCTCCCAGGATCACGTGGGTATCAAACGGAGCTGCAGGTGAGCCAGATGGCATCATTGCAACTGGCTCCTGAGACTAGACCTCGGGTCACAAGGATGTCTGAGTGTGAGGTGAGGTGGCTTTCATTCCTGACTTCATAGCCAACAAAATGGTGGCTGTCTACCTCTGAGCAAACAGGCTCAACTCCTTTCCCTAAAGGAGCAGAGTTTTAAGCTCAACCCTATTTGCCTCCCCCATCAATCCAGCAGTTATTTAATTAACACAGTTTCCTCTATAAATTTTATTTCAGATTAAAAAAA